AATGCCTCCTTGAAATTACTAACTCAAATTTTGTCATTTATACACCTATACCTGGCTTGTTTGCACTCTACATACTAGCCAGATACTGTTAGACTTTTTAACTTTCCAATCAGTAAGGTGAAAAATGGAAAAGCCTGCTGGAAGTCCTCTGCTCTCACCTACCACTGTGACACTCTTGCTTGTTTTCATATAGGTCCTCAGATATTTAAGACTTTTGAAAAATGGATTATATTAAAATGAAGAATTTTGACCACTTTAACTGAAATTAACTTCAGAATATATCTCCAAGACTTTTTGTATCCAAATACCCTAGACTTCCTACTTGGTCCTATTCTTTAAATTAAGAAAAAAAAAAAAGAAAAAAAAAGTTAAGTTTCCCAACATGCCAGGTAACTAAAAGTACTAACCATCAGCAGCTGCTGTAGCTTTCCAAGAGATTTAAAATGCTTTGTACGTCTAAAATAACCAGTGATTTGTGGCGTTCTTCATATGGATTTGTGAATGTTACTTAGAAGTTTAAGTTTGTAGCTTCTGGCTAACGAATTTTCTGTGACTGAATAAAATACATTCAATCTCCATTTTCTCCAAAGCAAAATCTGTTCTCTAGATGAGGTGTTAGGTTCAGGCTTTTGGAAAGTATCATCATTAGTTGCTTTACTTGACAGAAAACTGTTTTTACTTGGACCATAATGAGTAGTTAGCATGATAAATAGGCAATGTCTCTTAAGTACCACATTCAACACTCCTTACATATTTCTTCCCTGACTAGCATAAAAACCCCAAGAATAATCTCTAGAGTGTTATCATCAAGGTTATAGAAAATGAACAGGTATTACCTCTACGTTTCAGGTAAAGTAATGTGTAAAATATGAAAGAAGTTCCAACTTTTCAGAGAAACACAGAATGGCTAATTTTTTTTTTTTAAATCAGTAATGTGAATTTATAGTAATAACAGAAGTCACACTTGATTTCAACTTAGAGGACTGGATCTCACAGAAACGCTTATATTTTTCCTCATCATCATTTTCTGAGTGTCCTCTGCTGTAATTCATCATCATTTCCTTATCAAGCAATGCGAGTTAGGCATATTATCCTAGAAGGACATGATCTACCTCATAATATAGACTCTGTGTTTACTGCATCATACTTGCATTAAACTATTCTTGTGCTTCTTGTTTTCTCCTTCAAAACTTTCATGTAATTCTGTCTTTTTCACAACTCTTCACTTGTTTTATCCTTCACCCCCCTTCTACTGCTTTTGCACATCACCTTAAGTCACCCGACAGGCCTCTCGCTTCCTCCTTCTAACTGCATCTTCAAGCCAGCTCCTGTGCTAAATCCCCTTCTATTCCCAGCACTCAAGTACTAATGGGACAACAACAACAAAAAAATACCCTCCTGTTACTTTATAAAGGTGCATCCCCTACTTGCTGCAAATGCATAAAACATACTGGGATCACATATGCTTTGTGTTGTTTGAATTATCTTACTGATTACTAATTAAGACCCCAAATGGCCCCACTCAAAAGTCCACTGCAGGATGGGATCCTTCAGTTTTAACCTTGTGAGAAAGGTCTTTCTTCTCCTGCTTATTTCATTTAACAGCTGTCTGATTTCTGCCATATTTCCTCCACAACCTATCGCGCAATAGGCAATTCATGTATCCAAAAGGCTCCACGTGCATGTGTTAAGCGCAGCTAACAAGGAAAAGGCCAAAGGCCAATCCCGAACTCCCTCGAATGCTGAGTTTCCCCCTCCAGCCACCATTAACCTGATGATACCAGTAAGCATCAGCTAGTGTGGGAGAGAAACAGGTTTAGTACATCTGACCTAATAGTTCACTAAACAATGTGCAAATTCTAACTAGCTGGCTAGCAGCTTACTAATGACTAACTTTGTTTCCCATTAAGTCCACGCATGCATATACTGTAAAATGCCAAAAGGTGGCATATTAGCAAAGCATCTTCAAACATTCAAATAAGGGTGAACTATGATAATAGTCATACCTCTCTTGCCATCTTCCATGAAAACCACTTTCCAGCCCCAGCATCACAGGGCTCCACTTTTTCTTATCTCAATGATTTTCATATCCAGTGGCTTTGGATGACAACACACTTTATGCTGATACAGATATTCTTGGACTTGCACCCTTCTAAACTCTGCAGACAAGATTCAGGTCACCTATTTTAGGCACATACGCAACTTGGACTTTGCAATGCCAACAAACCAGGTGTTGGGAACCAGCAGGATACTAGGGTCCTTGACTCCAAGAGAATTATTTCTTGAAGAGATGAAAGCACCTCCAAAAAATGAATTACTGTGATTAACACATTTGCCTCTCTCCTCAGTGAGCAGGCAAACTGCAGATCTGCAGCCAAGAGGTGATTCAGTGTTTCTGTATCTTGAGCTGGGAGGTGATCAGAGCTAAGTAACGAGAAAAACTGAGCACAGGACCATGTCTGAATTCTCTTCTGACTTGTAGGTGACTATATTTAAATTTGGTCATGTATTTCATTTTTCAGTACCACTGTTAATTTCCCAAATATACTAGTGATCCCTTTGCCAAAAGGGAACATCTGTTACTGCTCCACTTATTTTAGAAAGAAGCTCTTGCTTTGCCTTTTCATTCTTGTTCCTGACAGAGTCCTTACTGCTGTTGATTCTCCCTACTAAACTTACAAAATTTTTTCTCCCACCTCCTCCAGCATTGAAATAAGTTCTCTCACTAACCACCTTCCCTTCTCCTTAAAGGATAAGGGACTACAAATTAAGATTGGTAACAATGAACAGGTGTACAAGCAGTCAAGAAGGCAACATCCCAACACTAGTTTTACAGTGTATTCCATTCCTGATTTATACTGGGGCTTAAAATTTTAACAAGCTATTCCACAGTTCCTTTTAAACATTAATTCTTGAGACTTCTAATCATAACTCTTACTCCAGGTGAAGGAAAATGTTACTCTTGGAGGGTTCCGAGTGCTGCTCTGTGCAGAAACCAGAAGGGGGCAATGGAGGAGCTGAGTGACTGCCCTTGCTTGCGCTGCTTCTGCTCCCACAGTCTGTATTCCAGCCCTCATCGAAGGACTATGCTGTGAGGTGCTGTCTTTTTAACCTGCATGGTTTGATCCAATTTTTTTTTCATTACTAACTACAGAAAGCCTAGGCTATTCATCGAGCATTATATAATGCTCGATATAATGCTCATATCTGTATATAGATTTTAAATGTCTTCCGCAGCATTTCCTCCTTATTCAAGATAAATTCACTACAGACTAACTTGTGAACGAAAGTTCTTTATATGGAGTCTGTTAGTGACCATACTGAACACATTTGACCAAATAATGGATTTTTGTTCATTAGCAATTTCAAAACGTGAACACAAACTTTTTCTTGAACTGTTCCGTTTTGACAAAACAGAGTGAAGTTTCACATCATTATTGAAAAGTGTTTTTTAAACCAATAGAAATTTGCGAGGCAGTTCATGTAGCTAATGGTGCATTTCTCACAGAAGAAAGATTGTGTAAAAACAGTCATCTAGCTGCAGCTCACCTTGGCTTTCTACTTTTCTATTTTCACCTAAAGATTTTTTACTCTTCCTTTTAAAAAACAAGTCACACAAGTGAAAACAGTTATTGGATTTATTTAAACCCACATTTATTTAGAGTATTTGTCAAGGTTTCCCCAAAATATGTTATCTGAAAGCAACAGAGACAGCTTTAAAAATTCATTAAAAACCTCTGAATGGTATTTAAATAAGAATATTAGAAGGTTTCAGTACCAGGGTACAAGATGCATCTGCTAGTTCAAGCTTTGCTTATTCTATAGTCATAAACTTTGCACACAGAATACAAATGAGTATGAATTAAGCACTCTCACCCTTAATCTTGTAGTGGAGATTTCAGCCTTCAGAATGTCAGGGTCATACTTTGTGCTTGATGAGGAGCCTGAGAACACTTTTTTTGAAGACAAAAAAGGACAAATAGTTAAGTACTGTTAAGTCATTAATTAGTCCCTTCCTTGATGAATCCACATTGATCTAAAATTAAAAAGTGCAGAAAAACATGTAATACTTAAAAAAAAAAAAGTCCTTATAGAGTAGTCATCATTGCAGGATGGCAATAATTAACGAATAATCAAGATTTCTCCCTTTGTTGCCCTACCACTATTTGGTATCTCTCCTCCTTTGCCTATCCCAGGATCCTAAGGTAGCACCTCATTCTCCCTGGCTTCCTATCCTTTGCCTTCTGTTCCCATTCTTCTAGCTAGGCCATCTTCCAATCACCTCTTCCTGGAAGCTGTGATTTCTAAGGAGATTTCTGGAAAGCAGAAGATTTATTCAGAAGCCTCAGAGGTCTGCCACTCAGTTCTTCTGCAGCTGTGCCTGTTACTTTTATCACACTGCCTTCTTCCAAGAGAGATGTTTGGCCAAGGGCAGGCCTCTGACAGCACTTTACTGCATGCCAATTCCTTGCCCAACATTGTAACATGTATCTCTACTTCACCCCGATCACAGCACAGAAGCTACAAAATTATTGCATGCTATTCTTATAAAGCAGCAACAAATTCCCTTCTTGGTCTATTGCAGACACCTGTCAACACAGTAGGGCCATTTCAGCATGCAGCCATGAAGTACAAGAGATCCTATTTACTTCAAGCCTAGATTTGGCAGAATTTTGTTCTGACAAACTGCATGACAAAACAGATTTCAGAGCCAACTGCTCTAAACCACGGCTCAAAGGAGTTCAATTGTATCAGGGACACAAGGGTTCTCTCCAGCGGAATATCTTTATGTTAAATAAAATTTTTAAAAGTAGGGATGCTCTCTCTAAAAAAGCCAGAGTACAAGGTGTTCATAGCACACCTTGAAAACTCAGCCTAGAGAGAAACAGGATCCCCTGCAAGGCACAGATCAAAGAAGTTATTGTATTCTCTACTGGACTTACAGCTTGTACGAGAGCTCGATTTTTCTTTGTAGGCATCATTCAACCGTGCATACTCATCCAGTGCAAGTGCTAGCCTCTGTTCTTTCACCTGGTACAGTTCTTTCTGAGTACTGAGAGCATCCTGGGCTACCATGAGGTAATCTTTTAACATTCTCTCTTGTTCTTGCCTCCATTGTTTCCTGGGATCTTCTATTTGTGTTGTTTCTTTATAGGAGAGAAAGAAAAGATTTAAAGAGACCTTTGCTGAAATCCGTTGACAACTAATTTGTTTCTTTGCCTGTAATCCACAGTTATATAAGTCTAAACCATAGCTTGACCTTGGTTACCAAGCAGGTGCTCAATTTTTTTTTTTTTTTTAGTTTTCTTTGCCACAATAGCGGGGGTAAGAAACAGTATTTAAGGGATCAGTTGCAAAATTAGGAATTAGGATACAATAGGTAAATGCTTATTTAGAGCGTTACCACATCTCCAACCTTGAATTAATAACATCCTCAATCTCAAGAAAAAGCTTATTTTTTGCATCAGAGTATTTGGAAATAATTGGATCAATAAAGTCTTTCAATGATGTCTTAAAATTGAATGCATTTCTGAACAAAAATGAAAAGCAATCTCAGCTATTACATTTTTTTCAAACCTCCTCCCCACATCATTAATTTTTATAGCCATATGTTATTCGTGTTTTATAGTGGTTATCTCTCTCCTTTCCCTCTACGAAAACAGTTTTATCTTTTTCCCCTGTAACTGAATTAGCAGAACATGAACACTCCAGATCACTTCACCTAACTCTATCCCTATCCCTGCTAGGCAGCTCATCCAAGACACAACTTTCTTTATGGTCAATAGGCAGAGAGGGCCACCCTCAGAGAGAGCTTCACTCCATCTAAGACAGGTGCCCAAGATGGGATCGAGCTGCCTTTTTGAGGTGTCTACTTCTTTCCACTGACAACCCAGGTAATATAAATGAGTGGGCTGGAACAGGCCCTTAATTCACAAAGGGCTTCAGGTCAACCATTTTAACTCCAGCAGCCACACAGAAGACAGACTTGCATAGAATGCATAGATGAGAGGATTAAACACAATAGTGGTATATGTTAAGAAAGTATGTGATGAGATCAATCTCATTGTAGGTTTTAAGATTTTTTTTTTTTTTAATGTAAACATGCGAAGAAGAAGAGTTAAGGCTGAATGTTCAATCTTATCATTAGTATTTCCTGACTTAGTTCAACACTTTTTGAAGCTGTACAATGAATATTCTTCCTTTAAAGCTGTACTAAGTACAAAAACATTCTCGTAAGACCTAGCAATGAAAAGTTTGAAATCTAAATAAAAATGCAAACGTGCACCCCACTGCATTTTCTTTGTAAGTTACATGCCATAAATCTACACAGATCTACAGAGATAAAAAGTAACATTCAGTACCAAAGTATTTAAGTACAAAGTATTTACTTCAGAATTTTTTCTGCCAAAACAAGGAGGAAAGTATATTCTCTGGGTTAAATTTCTGCCACTTTAGTTCTCCGAATTGCTTTACTGTGAGAAAAAAAGAGGAACATGTGGCTGAAGACATGGGGGTGCGGGAAGAACCGCAGCAGAACCAACCTGATGGCTCTAAACTGTAGCTGAAGTGCACTCTTGGAGAGAAGGCACTCCAACTCTATATATGAGTAACAGCAAAAGCTGATAAGGACAGGTGCTGGTTAATAACAATTCCCCATACCACCATTTTTTCAAAAGCATTTTTTGATGTTAGTATCACATAAACCAAAAGACATTCAAATAAAAAGAAGCTTCCCATAAAACTAACCCTGTAGGATCCTAAACTGACAATGTCTATGGAACTATTGATGCTTTTAAAAGCAAACAAATACAAACACATACACACACACCCATGCTGGTGACCCCCTCCACCATTTACAAACACAACAAGCTTTTGTATTTCTACTTGGGACAGGTATTTCTTAGATGGACGCAATGAATGCATTGAGAGTATAAATCACATACACCCAAGTGCAGTGCATAAAAGATTAAAGCAGAGAAGCTTTATACACAGTTGGTTTTCCAATAACCCCAGCAGGAACACTCTCTCCAAAAAACTAAGTATAGCCTAGGACACATACACATATATCCATGTTTATAGCCACCTGCTCTTTTCCACAAAGATATCAGGCACACAGAGAAGCAAATCGATACCTTTTCTCTCCTAAGCGGTCAACACATGTCCCTATCTGTGGCCATTTATTGCTGTTGTGCTTTAACACACCTCCACATTCACAGTTATTTACACAAGACAAGAAGTGCTGGTTTCCAGAGCTGTCCTTTTTTTGTGAAGCAGGATGAAGAGGCTGAAGCAGGATTCTCATGGGTCAACGATCAAATAGGATAAATGCAGTTATGTTGGTTTTTTAGAAGAATGTAATGATGTGATTGTGTTTTAAGAGTGCAACCAGCAGCCACCAAATAATCTTACAAGATTGGAAGGTCTCATCTTCAAGCATGTTGTAGGTAATTGCCTTGTAGGTTTTAAGTGAGGATTGCTCAACATGCAGTCCAAAGACCAAATGTAGCCTGCAGAGTCCTAAAACGTGGCCCACAGATGCCCTGTCCTTGTGACTGCAAGAGAAGGACAAAGCTGATGAACAGCAGATTATTTTGTATTGCTGACAAATACAGTCAGACATTTTCTTTTTGCCCCCAAGCTGCATGTGCAAAACACTACTATGATTGTATGAACTAACATCTTTTATACTGACAATCATAAACGAGTTAGAGGTAACCCTGCATTTTAAAAATTGCATACTGTAACTTTAGCATACCGAGGTCTGCGTATTTGCCTATGTATGTACATTGACTGGCCAAACTATTCTCAGCCAATTCTATCTGCATGTATTTTATTCCACAATGAACACTCAGTTGGGAAAATGCTGGAAAAAGCAAAGCAGTACTAGAATGACTGAGTAACCAGAATTGTTACTCAACTTTTACCAAGCAGAGAAGGCTCTGGAGTATTTTTCACTATGTCTTCTTAAATATTAAGAAGTGGAAAACCCAAAAAAGCCTATCAACTTGCTTGGCAAGTTCTTCATACATATATATACACACACATACGCATATATACATATGCCTGTGTAGCAGCACCATATGGTTGTTCATCTATACTATTCAGTTGTCTCAATTTTAATCAGTAGGTTTACCCCACAGAGGGAAAAAAACCAAAGACAGAACTATGGGTAATATTTCCGGTACTGTAGCACTGCATTTTCAAAAGTATGTTCATTTGAGCACATACCTTACAACAGCCAATAAAATTTTTTAAAAAGCAGAGTCCTCCTTTCAAAAACAAATATTTATACTTCTCGGAGTAAAGCCTCACAAAGATAAGGATTTTTTTCTTGGACAAGAATGTTTTAAGCACCTGCTATTAAGGTCAAACTTGTATACACAAGAATATTATTGGGCTGGTTACATGCATGTCATTGTAGGAACAGCTTGCTGAACATTTCAAAATGAGATGTGAAGCCCTTCATGCTTAAATCAAAAAGTGACATTTAAACCACAAAGAACATCCAAGCATTACCCTAGCCATATCATTCAGTGACTGATGTAAAATAAACTTGGGAGATCTCGTTCCTTTTTTAAAGCAGATAAATGTTTCCACCAGTGACTGCAACAGGATGCCTTACGACCTTGTCTGCAGCAGATAGGGATCACGCAACCGGTTGCTAGCTAGACAAATGGGGAGACGTTATTTCTGCTGGTTGGGTGAGGAGTAAGCACTGGTTATGAAGACTAGACAGAACTGTAGGGTTGTATCTGTTCTTGAAAACACTAACTGGGCTCCAGTCATTGGCAGCAGAGAACAAACCACCCCCCTGAGCATGACCTCTCCAACACTTTCTGTATCACCAGATAGTTAAATGCAAGAGTTCAGCTGTTTCTTGTAGAGAAAATACAAGTTACTACAGATACACAAGGCCATCATTTTCTGTGACAAACTTAGATATGAACTAAAGGAATGTCCTTAAAATGGATCTTTAAACAACTAAGAGTTGTACATCAGGCTCTATCAAGAGCACTGCTTAGATTAAAAAAAAATAAAGAATCTTGATATATCAACTTTCTCTGTCCAATCACAATGCAAAATAATGATCCATAGTAAAAGAATGAGGAGGTTGGTGGAGCACCTAATATTCAGGTTAAACATTCCTAAGTTTGACTTTGTTTTAGTGTCATTTGGCAAAGCCACTTGCAAATGAAAATTACTCAATTCTATTAAGAGATCTTGATTTAAAACCAATTAATTTAACTTTAAACAAATTATTGCAAGTGCGTAGCTAATAAATTTATAAAAAAATCATAAACAAGCAATTTATTTCCTCCTATTTTTAAAGATCTGAGTGACTACTCACGCTGGGGGGAATTCTGAGAGGCAGAAAACACTTGAGGTCTCGCCCAGCGGAACTGCACAAGCGGCAGGATGGCACGCTCCACCCAAGGACGTTCCTGTGCACTGAAATGATCACAGCCCTGTAACATAGAAAAGCAAGCTGCGCTGGCTTTAATCATACTGCTATTCATGAAACGCACTCTTCCTGGCTCACTGCCAGCCAGGTTTGATGCAGTTAAACTCAGCAAAGAATTTGGGCCAAACAACAAATCAAAACCAAAATGCCAGGACTGACTTTATGCCTTGAAAGTTTTGTTTATTCCTTTGGCTAGAACTTATTTCAAGGGCTGCAGTGTTATGTATGCTCTGTGTAATTATACATAAGATATATATTATATATAGGATACAGGTGGCTATTTTTTTAAATGAGATATTTTCTTATTTTAGGTTCCTGTCTGCTATCAAGAAGCTCTGCCAAATTTTTACAGTCTACTTGAACAGAAGGAAACTATTACCTTATCAGCAGTAGATCGTATTTCGCTGAAATACATTAAATTAAAATCCCACTAGAAAATCCCACAGGGAAGCGAATGGCTCCCTGATGCCTTACTGCTAGACATGAGAGAATTGGACATTTTGCTACAGGATTAACAATATGTGGAAGCAATAGTTTTCCAACATCTCCCCTTGCCAAACAAAATAATAGCGTCGATTGGCTCTAGAAAGACCCACACGTACACTCTGTTCAGTCAGACATGTTGCATTTAGGGAACACAGTTAAGAGAAGGAGTACTTTCAAGGGGTCCTACTAAAAAAAGCC